TTTGCTTGCTTTCTTTACCTCTCCCCCTCCTCCTTCCTCCTTCCCTTTTTTTTTTTTTTTTTTTTGTTTCTGGTTTTCAACATAGGGTTTCTCTGTGTAATGTGCCTGCCTGTCCTGGAATTTGCCTTGTAGACTAGGCTGGCCTCAAACTACCAAGCGCTGGGATTAAAGGCATGCACCACCATGCCTGGCAATAACACGAACACTTTTCAACTAGGAAGTTTAAACTTAAAACAAACAAACAAACCCAGATTTCAGGCTGGTGAGATTGCTCAGTAGGTTAAGGCATTCCCACCAAACATCTAAGTTTGATTCCCAGGACCCACAGTGGAAGTTTTTAAAATCCAGATTTCCGTTTGTATGTTTGTTTGTGATGGAGATTGAATCCATGATAGTGAACTCAGTAGATAAGGACTCTATTATTAAGCTACATCTAAATCCCCAAATATTTGTTAATGTTTTGCATTCTTAGATATTTTCCAGAAGTGAACTCTGCACCAAGACTTCTGTGTCAAATTGTTTATTTGGAGGTAAATCCTAGAAATCTACAGTAAGGGTGTGGGAAATAAGGCCAGGAGGGGAAGGAAGCAATGGATAAGAGTTACCAAGAAGTTGCCATCTTGTAACTTAAATCTGGAAACTCTGGGATGTGTAGAATATGTTACTCAATGATATCTCATCCAAGAGACAAAGGCACTTGAGCATTTACCCACAAAAAATCATCAGTCATTGATTGCTGGTTGATCTTGTATAAGAGAGGAAGGGCGACCATTCAACCTGTTATGCAGAAGTAAAAAGTGGTCTCTGAAGGCCAAAGGAAGGTGGTATTGATAGCATCTGGTATAATACAGAAGACCCAAGCAGAGTGGTGCATGTTAATGCCAGCACTTAGGAAGCTGAAGCAGGAGGATTGCATGATTAAGTCTAGCCTGGGCAACTTAGCAAACCTGATGACCAAACCAAACCACCACCACCACTACCACCACCACCGCCACCAGTATAAAAGATTCAGGGATATTAGAGGCTAAAGTTAGAGAATTTGCCTGATATCTGTGAGACCTTGGGCTCAATTCTGCAGCTGAGTAGAAGTTGAGTAGAAGTTGCCTCATGAGACAAGTCACCCTCCATTTCGCTGTGCCCTCCCCCACTTCCCTCCCTACATTGTCTGCTTCAGCACTGTGGTGCTTGCAGGTGCAACTGCTGGCTTACATATACGCTTGGGAACTTTATAAGACATACAAGTCCCACTTTCAAATATTTTGTTTTTCGTTCTCACAGGATAACTAGTCCTATTATTCCAAATTGGATGGATTGATCCTTCCTACTTCTCTAGTCTGATGCCCTGAATCAGGGACTCAGACTGCTTTACCATCATGCTGTTACATTAAATTCAGGTTTCGACATCTACAGCTGCAGAATCATACCCAAAGTATAAAGAGAAATAATTTTTCTTCTTTGTTTCTTCAGGAACTCACATAACCCAGGTTTGCCTGAAGCTCTTTATCCTCCTGGCTTAGCCTCCCTAGTGTCAGGGTCATAGGGATGCATTACCTGTTCGGCTGTCCTAGGATGTTAAAAGATTTAAAGATAATTCTGGAAAGAAAAAAGGAATAGTTTTCTTTTTTTGTTGTTGTTGTTATTAGTTTTTGCTTTTTGAGTCAAGGTCCCCTGTTTGAAATCTTTCTGTGGCCAAAGATGACCTTGAACTCCTGATTTTCCTGTTTCCATCTTTTCCTGGGCAGGGACTATAGGCATGTATCACCATACTTGGCTTAATTTCACAACTTTTATCTCAAACTGATTTTAAAATTTACCATCACTCTCACAAATACATATAAGTACAGCTGGAAATCCATCTTATTGTCTGTCTGCAGAAGGAAGCTCCAAAAGGATAAACAGCACTCTTCTTTCTTAGCCGGGGTGACACTGTTTTGTAAAGCACGTCCATTCTGGTTGGACTGTGACAGTTACAGAAACTAAAGCAATTCCCAAAACCTAGCAAAGTGTCAGACATAACAGAGTGCATAGTAATACTTAATGAGTATTAAGTACTTGGATGGATAGGTGGATGAATGGTGATGGATGAAGGATGGTTGATGAATATAGCAGAGATGATTGTAGGGCCGTGAAAGGGGTTTTGGGTTTTGGTAGAAGTGCTGGCTGGAAGTAGCCCAGAGACCCTGCAAGGGACGGGCATTTATTCCACCGTGCTCCCAGAATCCCGGGCTCCTAATGGCGTGGAACTCCATTGACCTGCACTGTTCAGTCATGTAGAACAATGTAGCCCCTCCCAAAGAGCACAGGTAGAGGATGTGACTACAGGCCTCAGGCCCTAGAGAGATTTACATACTAATGAGATACCTCAAGGCCAGAGTGCGGAGCCAATTAAGCATTCTTCCCCAGACCCTCCCCCCTTCTCCCTTCCTTTTTAACTCAGGTCTGCCCTGAGTTTCACGGAGGTACAACCAGATCCATCTACCATCCACCATGAAAATAAACCCTTTTGGAACCATGGACTTTCTTGTGTCTTTGGGGCCCACCATGGGAAAATGTGGAGAAGGCCTTTAAGGAGCCGCTGTAGCCTCAGCCACCTCGCAAACTTCCTGCCTGGAGGACCTCTCTGTGTTCCAGCCACAGGGACCCATATTTTCAAGTGAGCTAGCCAGGCCACAGAGTCTGCTAAGCAAGTACAGTAACTGAGTCTCTCCCATTCTTCTCCCCCCCCAACCCCGCCGTCCACATGCCCCCAGTCTTGGTCCTTCCACAGCCTCTCAGCAGTGTCTGAGAGCCCAAGGGCTTGAGACCAGTTGGTCTCCATCCACCTCCTGGCCTGGGGATCCCCAATCCAAGAGCCCTGTGTCCCCACGACCCCGTGGAACTTCAGACTGAGTGAGAACTCCTCCCACCAGGTGGGGCACCATAGCATCGCCCAGTGCCATGCGTGGAGTGAACTTAGTCAAGACTCCCGAGCTCCAGTCTCTTGGAGCCGTGGGAATCACAACAGCCCAACAAGATTCAAGAATCCACGTCCGTGTCCACGTGATCAAAGCTATAAGGACCAGATTTGTGCAAGATGCTGACAGTCATCCTAACTTAGTTATCTTCCAGTGTGGGGGAGGCAAACGAAGGAGACGAGGTAATAAAACTGTTCTTTGAAGGCCCTATTTATTTGAAGATCTCTTAAAATGTGTTAAACTCCACGTTCTCCTTTTCTTCTAACCAAGATCACTGGATGGGAGCCTTCCCTAGAGAAGGGCAGCTGTTTCTGAGTCACCTCATGAAGCTGCTCGTTTGCCTCTGGCCTCAGACAGTGCTGCATCTCAGCTTGAGTTTTCACCCCAGAAAACAAAGCCTGATCCAAGCTCCTGCATGACGTGGTTGCTGATAGCCCTCTGTTTGACCACCATTTCGGTGACTTGCTTAATAGACTAGGCTGCCCTCGAACTCAGAGGTTTGCCTGCCTCTGCCTCTTGTGTGATGGGAACCATGTCCACCTTGGTTCCCATCTTGACTTAGCCCTGGCTTAGCTAACCCAGGTACATCCTTGTTTGATGCTGAATATACTCTACTAAGTGTTAGCCAGGGTGACACCATTTTGTATAGCACCTCCATTTTGGTTGGACAATGAGAGTTCTGGAGGCTAAGGCAATTTGATTTCCAGAATTAAATTAACATTTTTCTCTAGATGCTTTGAGCTCTGGTACTGGCCATACAGGAGAGACGATATCTATCATCTGACAGTGTCTAATTTACCACTCCCTGTTAACCTGAAGAAATGACCAAGTGAGGACCAAACCAGAAAGATTTAAACCTCTTTCTCACCTCTCCTTTCCTGTGAAGGATGTAATAAGAGGCTGTCTCTCTGTCAGGTGGATCTAGCCTCTCCTCAGGTACCTGCCATGCTACTGTCTGCCTGTCTATCTGTGGTATCACTAACTCTTCTAATAGACCTCTTAACCCAAAAGAAAAATCTGCCTCAATGTCCACTTTGAACAACTTGAAAACTTTCACTAATTTGTGATTGTTTCCTTCTTTCATTTTTTTTTGTTTTTGTTTTTCAAAAGGAGCTCTGACAAACCGTTTTATTAAAGGCAGACTTTCTTGTTTACTGCTAACCAGTCTGCTCTGGCATGCTTCTAATAATATCAGAATCACCTGGGTCACCTGGGTCAGTGAGGGCCAGTGTGCAGACTCTGTAGTGTTTCCCACAAGCTGTGTCCAATTCAATATTATTGCCACTGTAGTGATGGACACCACTTTTAGCCAACATGGCATAGTATTCTATTTCAGATTTCCTCAAAGCTGGGCAGTCGTTGGCAAGGATAACCAACTTCGCTTTGCCTTGTCTGATCATCTTCAGAGTCTGTTTGTACCCCAGCACGTACTTTCCACTTTTCATAAGAAGCTGGAGCCTAGAGTTGGTCGACTCCAGAGACTTTTTCGTCTTCTTTGCAGCTACCATCTTCCTGCCTTAGGTGCAGGACAACCCACAAACCCAATCAGCTGCCAAGATGGCTGGAGAGCAAGGAAGGCCTTTCTTTCATTTGTTTAGAGACAGGGACACATGTACATATTCCAGACTGGCCCAAAACTCACTTACAGTGTAGCCAATGATGCTCCTGAACGTCTGATCCTCCTGCCCCTACCTCCTAAGTGCTGGGATTACGGCATACATCCTTGCATTTATGTTTATGTTGTGATGGCCATTGAACCAGAGGGATTCATGCATGCCAGCTGAGCTCTCTGCTAACTAAAGTACACCCCCAGTCCAGCTACAGAGCATTTCCATGGGTAATCTCACCACTTAAAACTATATAATCACCCTCATTCTACAAGGGAGATAATAAAACTTATTGTAAAAAATGTCATGCAATTTCAGAGTCCTGGAACTCACCCTGTAGACTAGGCTGGCCTCGAACTCACAGAGATCTGCCTGTCTCTGCCTCTGAGTGCTGGGATTAAAGCTGTGCACCACCATTGCCCAGCTCTCTTCAACTTTTGCAAGGAAATAGAATGAGGTGACAGGAGGCAGCTCAGTGTCTGGATCTTTCTCCAACTGTGTTCCCAGCCAAGCATGTGGCACACACCTATAATTCAAGTACTCAGGTTACAAAGGCAGGGGGATTGCTGCAAGTTTGAGACTAATCCAGTAGCCTTGTTACATAGTGAAATCCTGTCTAAACTTCCCCCACCCTCACCCCATGTGTACATGTCAAACACACACACACACACATTGAAATAAGTAAATAAATATGTAAAAAAAATTAAGAGTGATAAGGCTGAGGACGTAGCTCAGTTGGCAGAGTTCATCATGGCCAGCAATCAGGAAACCCATACTTCTCATATATGGGTATTGTGACGTGTGCCTACAACCCAGCACTTGGGAAACGGAGGCAGGATGATCAGAAATGAAAGGTCTTCCTCAGCTACATATAGAGTTTGGGGCCAGTCTGGTCAAAGACACTGTTTTAAAAATAAAAAGGAAATACGGTGAAGTATAGAGAAAGGAAAAGAGGCAGGGCTTGTAGTCTGATTTATAGGTGAGACTTAAAATGGATATTTTCTTCCGCAGGCACGTGAATTTCCATGCTTAGCCCTCAAAGGACATGTGATGGGACACTTGTAGGATCTTAAGCCACTGCACAGTGGTCAGCCCACGGTTGCCTTCTGAGGCTTCCTGTCTGTCTTTAAAGCTGACAGACACCACAGTGAGTCAGTCCTACCAACGCTTGACTCATTTTTGACCTAAATTTGGTGATCAAACACAATACTCCAGAATTTGGCATTGTGGCTTAAAAGTATGGTGGGAACATGATTGATGGTTGTTTCTCCCCCCCCCTCCACGCTCTCGCTCTCTCTCTCTCTTTCTCTGTCTCTGTCTCTGTCTCTGTCTCTCTCTCTCTCTGTCTCTTTCTGTGTGTGTCTGTGTATATGCGTGTATGTGTGCCTGTGTGTTTGACATGCACACATTTAAGTTAGCAAGAGAACTGGGATGTAACTCGCTCAGTAGAGTGTTGCCCAACACCAACTAACCCAATATCTTGTAAACTGGGTGTTGGTTTGTAATCCCAGCACTTTGAAGGAAAAAACAAGAGGAGTTTCAGAACAGCCTCAGCTACACAGCAAGTTACAGGCTAACCTAGCATTCTTGAGATGCTGCCTCTAAATTAACTGTCAATCAACTAATCATCAGAAAGACTTGGATTTCACTTCTGAGTCACCACTCGCTTGCTGTGCAACCTTGGTCAAGTCCCCTGACCTCTATCAGCGCATAGTTTCCAATCTATAAGTCAGTGCTACAGAATTCCCAAGAACTGTGTGGGATTTGGTAACACATGAAGAATTTAGCATTATAGATGCTCAAGAAAAAGTCTGAAAATTAAAGCTATTTTATTTCTTTTTGTGGTGCTTCCATCTGAACTTAGGGGCTCAAACTCATGAGGCAAGCACTCTGCCACTGAGAAGCACACCACAGCATCTGTTTGGCGGTCAGAGGACCACTTGCAGTGGGCCTTGGGATCAAATTCAGGTCTTTATACTTGGTACCTTTACCACTGAGCCATCTTGCCAGCCCCCCCCCTCCAGCCTTATCTCTTCAGAGACCTTCATTTGGGTCAACTTCTTTGTCTTTTATGCCTGACCTCATACTCTATCCCTTCATGTTCAGGACAGGTTTCTTCGTCTCCATCTGAAGTCATGTTTCTGAGTCTTTGCTGATGGTTTCTCTTGCCCCGAGTCCTTACATCTCGTTCTCAGAACCTGGTGGATGCTCCTGTTGTGGACTTTTGTTTGTTTGTTACTGTTTTTTTTGACGATAGAATAATATATAATTTAAATCACATTTCTTTGTTTATTCTGTAGTGGTACATAAGAACAACAAAACATTTCTTTTCAGGTAGATGGTGTGGCTCAGCACTTAGGAAGCTGAGCCAGGAGGACGGTGAATTAGTGGGAGCCTGGAGTGCTCTATGAGATCATCTAAAATAAATTTTTTTAACCTTTAAACCATTTTTAAAATGTTATCTCATTTTAAAATGTATTACTTCGAGGGTCATGGGACACATCACTTCATGTGGAGGTCAGAGCTTACGGGAGTCAGCGCTCTCTTTCTAGCCTGTGCGCCCTGGGGATTACACTCAGGTATAGTAGCAAGTGCCTCAACCTGCTGAACCATCTCACTGGCCTCTTTAAACTATTTTAAATATACACAGTGAGATGGCTCAGTGGTTAATGCCCTTGTTGCCCAAGCCTAGCCACCTATGTTTGATATTGTGAGTGCATATTGTGGCATAAAGTGCCACTCATACATGAACTAAACAAACAAATAAATATACAAAAGTCAATGTACAGTTCACTGGCATTAAATACAAGCAATTATCCCCATTCCGCAGTTATAGAACGTTTTCACCATAGAAAATAGAAGATCTGCACTCATAAATAATAATCTTCTTCCCACCCCACCCTAGCTGCAGCACCATCCTACTGACTTCTTTACTCAAGGACTCTCATAACGAGCAGAATCATGGGTCTGGTTATTTCATTTAAGACAATGCTTTTGAAAGCCATTTATATTGTCGCATATGTACACATTTCCTATATTAGGTGACATGATATTCCATGTGTGCATATGTCATATTTTGCCTCGCCCTTCTGTCCTTAGACATTTTGGTTGCTTCTGCTTTTTTGGCTACTGGGAATAAAACTGTTGTGAGCATGTCTGTCTGAGTCTCTATTTTCAGCTCTTTGGAATACATTCTATGATGTGGTAATTCTAGGGTTAGCTTTCTGAGAGTACATAACACTTGTTTTCTTTTCACATATGCGCATATGTGCTGTGCAGATGTTCATGTGACCACATATACAGGTGTGTGCAGAAGCATGTTGGGGTGCACATGTGTGGGGTGCATATGGAGGCCAGAGTTCTATTTCAGGGGTCTTTTTTCCTGCTCTCCACTGTATGCTTCGAGGCAGGTCTCTCACTGAACCTGGAGCTCACCCATTGGGCTAGGCTGGCTGGTGAATATGCTGGTCTCACACTCCCTCTCAGTGCTGGGGTTAAAGATCTGCCTTTTATGTGGGTTAAGGATCCAAGCACAGATTTTCATGCTTGCAGGTACTATACTGACTAAGCCATCTTCTCCTTACCACCCCTTTCTTAGAAAATAATGGTCCTTCTAGGGTTAGAGACAGACCTCAGTTAGAAGAAGCTTAGCTGCTGTGCACAGGCCCTGGGTGTGATTCTCAACACTGCATAAGCAGGGTGTGATTGCTGGAATAAGAATGGCCCCCATGAGATAAGATAGATTTTATAGACAGACTTGAGGCAGAGTGGGGGATGGGAATAGGAGGATCAGGTGGGGAGGGGACAGGGTTGAGAGAGGGAATGTGGGGAGGGACAGCTAGAATTAGGACTCATCTGAGGGGTGGTGTAGAAACCCAGTGCAGTAGAAACTTTATAAAATATGTGAAGGCAGTCCTCATGAAGTCTCCAAATAATGGGAAGATGGAATCCCAATTGGCCATCTCTTGTCACCAAATGAAACTTCCAGTACTGGGACTTGGTAATATCAAATTAAAGTTGTTGAACAAAGTGGGTCCCATGGAAATCACCAAGCAACCCAGGCTGTTACCAAGACAATAGATTGCTTTTCAAAAACTGACAGCAAGGACTTATTGCTGAAGACAATACCCATTGAACATGAAGAGGTCAAGCTGGCGTCTACTTAGAACCTTCCCCCCTACATTCCAGTATCTTTGGTATGGGAAGGTACTCTGTAGGCTACCAAAAAGGAAATGTAAACACCAAACTGGCCATGAAAGCTTTATCTATAATGCTTGGTGACAAAGAAACAGGGACTAGATAGCTTGGAGACCTAACCTAAAATCAAATACTACTGATCAGAAAAAAAGGAACAATAAATGACTCAACGATAACCCGCTGTACTTACAGATCAGGGCCTTACTCAGCCATCATCAGAGAAGCTTCTTCCTGCATCAGAAGGGAACAAATACAGAGACCCACAGCCAGAGAGGCCTTGGAACATACAGCTCTAAATGAGATGTCTCCATCAAATCCCTCCTGTCAGAGTTCAGGAACCCCACAAAAGAGGAGACAGAAAGAGAGTAAGAGCCAGGGAGGGTGGAGAGCACCAGGAGAGCAAGGCCCTCTAAATCAGCTGAGCAAAGCTCCTATGAACTCATGAGACTGAAGCAGCAAGCATGGGGACTATACAGGTCTGCACCAGGTACTCTTTGTATAGCTTTCAGTTTAGTATTTCTGTGGACTCCAGAATGTGTGAGTGAGTGGGTCTCTGACTCCTGTGCCTTCTCTTGGACTCTTTTCCTTCTGTTGGTTTGCCTTGTCTAACTCTGATGTGATTTTTTTTAACCTTATCATATTTTATTTTATGTTTTGTTGTTATCCCTTAGAAGCCTATTCTTTTCTAATGAGAGACAGAAAGG